CCCCCCAATAGCTAGCAATCTAAAATAGTCCAGTGGCACCTTTAAGACCAGGTTTTATTCAGGTACAAGCTCTCCCTCCTCTGCGAGGACAGATCTGCACATTCCCCTCCCCCCCAATAGCTAGCAATCCAAAACAGTCCAGTGGACCCTGAGCAGTGGGTGTTGCCTTCTGACACACTTCCGGTGACGCCAGGGGGCGTGGCCTATGCAAATAAGTTATGCTAATGAGTTATGCTAATGAGCTCCTGCACCTCTTTTCCTACGAAATGACCCCTGGTGGGGGGTACCTTGTATCGAAGCCACAGTGGGTCCACATACACGCGCGTGCAAAACTCACTCCGGCATTGCTTGTGTCCTCTGCAGCATCGACAAGGACGGCACGATGACCATCGACTGGCACGAATGGCGGGACCATTTCATCCTCAACCCCTTGGAGAACATGGAGGAGATCGTACATTACTGGAAGCACTCGACGGTGAGTCTTGGATCCCACCCAGGGTCGGACCTGGGGTTGCTTCCTGTTGTCCCCCCCCCATATCCCCCAGATATCCAGGAAACAAGAAGGGAGTTCTAGAGTTCCACCTCCCTGCAATGACACATCCATCTGGCAGCATAAATATGAACCTTTTTGACCCTGGGGTGTGGTTGGAGGGTAATACAGCAGCAAGTCTCACGAAGGATATTGCAGAGCTGGAAAAAGCACAGGGCAAGCAAGATGGATAGGGGTTTGGAGGGTCTAGAGAATCTGGGACTTTTCAATTTAGAAAGAAAAATGACTTAGGGGGGATGTGATTGAGGTTTCGGGAGGGGCTTTCAGTGGCTACTAGCTGTGGTGGCTGAGGGGAACATCCACTTCAGAGGCACTAGACCTCTGAATCCCAGAGCCAGGAGGCAACATCAGGGAAAGACCTCGGCCTCTCTGCCCTGTTGTTGACACCCCCCAGAGGACGGCGTGGCATATGCAAATAAGCTATGCGAATGAGTTATGCGAATGAGCTCCAGCACCTCTTTTTCTACGAAATGACCCCTGGTTACAGGAACAGGACTTCTCAGTCGTTATTGGCAAGGGATCTCGTTTGATCTCGGTGGGCAACGTAGTGAAGCCCAGGAACAGGCTTCGAGTCAGTCTCTCTAGCAGCTCATAACAGTTCTGCCTTTAGTGTTCCCAGAGAGGAGGAAACAGATCGTCCCGGTTGCAGGGGAGGAGGTGTGAACGGGTGCTGTGCCCAGAAGTGTGCCAAGAGAGAAGAAGCCGTTTTGAATGCGGTCGGTAAAGGAGACAGAAGGCCGAGGGTGTCTTGAGTTTGGTTAGGAAGAAAAAGAGATTGGATTTATACCCTGCCCTTCACTACCCGAAGGAGTCTCAGAGCGGTTTACAATTTCCTTTCCCTTCCCTTCCCCACAACAGACACCCTGTGAAGTAGGTGGGGCTGAGAGAGCTCTTGACAGAATTGCTCATGAGAGAACAGCTCTGAGAGAACTTGTGACCGACCCCCCCAGCAGCTGCATGTGGAGGAGTGGGGACTCAAACCCGGTTCTCCCAGATTAGAGTCCACACACTTAACCACTACACCCAAACTGATCCCAGGAGAAAGATTGATGCTGCTGTCAACCCCAGGGCCACTTTCTGTTTGCAGTCCCCTAAACACGCAACTGTCCCAAGGACACCGAACATCTCTGGCACACCGAAAAGGACACCGGCCCTGTAACAAGGCTGCCTCCAGAACGTCTGTCGGCTGGCTTGGCCTACCACCAGGAGGGCTGCCAACCTCCAGTTGCGGCCTGGAGATCCCCTGGAAGTACGGTAGATAGATCACCAGACCGGTGTTCCCTCTAAGCTGAGTGAGTGTGAGCTAGCTCAAAAGTTTTTTAGCCTCCGGCTCACCCATTTTTGTCTTGGCTCAGGAAGGAGGGCTCCAGAGCAAATTGATTGATGCAGCGGCCCAGTTGCTCGCTCATGGTTTTAATCAGGGCTATTTTAGGCCAGGAACACACAGGAACGGAGTTCTGGCTGGCTCCCGAGTTGGCCACGCCCAGCAGGAACTCATTAGCATAACAGGCCACACCCAACGGCAGAACCTCATTAGGACTGACTACAATAGGGGTGTGTGGCCTAACATGCAAAGACGTTCCTGCTACAAGAAAAGCCCCTGGGTTTTGACAACAAACAGGGTGTAAACAGAATAAGAAGCAAAAGGTGGGTGTGGCTGGATGACCACACTTCTGGTAACATGGGGGTGCGGCCTAATGTGCTAATGAGCTGTGCTGTCGTGGGTGTGGCCTGATATGCTAATGAGTTTCTGCTGTTGGGTCTGTCCTATTATGCTAATGAGTTCCTGCTGGGCTTTTTCTACAAAAAGAGCCCTGGTTAATGCCAGCGGTTCACAAAGTAGGATTTTTGCTCATAGGACTCCACAGCTTAGAGGGAGCATCGCTCCAGACTGGTGGCGGGAGATCTCCTGGGGTTACAACTGATCTCCAGGCACCAGAAATCAGGCTCTCCTGGAGGAAATGGCTGCTTCAGAGGGCAAACTCTATGATATACCATAGATCCTTGGTGAAATCCTTCTTCAGATCCTCTCCTCCGCTGACAAAGTAGAATTTTTGCTCACAAGACTCCACAGCTTAGAGGGAGCATTGGTCCACACACTTAACCACTATACCCAAACTGATCCCGGGAGTAAGATTGATGCTGCTGTCAACTCCAGGGCCACTTTCTGTTTGCAGTCCGCTAAACAAGCCACCATCCCAAGGACACCGAACATCTCTGGCACA